ACAAGGGGACCCTTTAATTACTACACAGGCCCTGCCAGAGGCCTCTGATGGGCCCAAAATGTAAGGGAAGGTGGTTTGGAGAGGGCCCAGGGGTATTGTGGGAATGCATGATGTGGAATGTCTGGGGGCATCTAGGAGGGAAGAGGACGGGGTGGCTTTACAGGGAAGGTATAGGTGAGCCGTGCAGTGACCAGAAGAGCCAGACTTGTTCAGTGTGGTTAGTCCAATGACCCTGAGGCGCTGGGGACAGGCCAGATGCCAGGGGCACCCGTGTCTACAGGGCAATCCTCAGCAGACATCGCCAGATGCCCTGGGGTAGATGCTAGGCTCTACGCTGGGCAAGACTCTGCCTCTGTGTCTGAGGCATTCCCAAACTCAGGGAAGGAGAAATCAGAGGACTAGGAAAGTGAGCCCAGCAAGGCCTGTGAAGGGACTGAGAGCCTGGGGTGCAGCTTCTGTAGAGGCTCAGACAGCAGACCCCCTTCAGGGGGACAAGGGGTCCCAGCCTAAGCACTGGCCAGAAGGGTGCAGCCCCTCTGAAAGAGAGGCATGCCGTACCTAGGGCAGGATGATGGGGGTCATGAAGAGAGAGAAGAAAGAATTAGTCACCGTCACACCTGTAAACCTTGCTACTCAGAAGGCTGAGGTCTGAGGATCATGGTTTGAAGCCAACCCAGGCACAAAATCCATGAGACTCTTTTTTTGTGGGGGGGTCCAGTCGTGGGGCCTGAACTCTGGGCCTGGGCGCTGTCCCTCAGCTCTTCAGCTCAAGGCTAGCGCTCTACCACTTGAGCCACAGCGCCACTTCCGGCTTTTTTTCTTTTTGCTTATGTGGTGCTGGGGAATCGAACCCAGGGCCTCAGGCATGCAAGGCAAGCGCTCTACCACTGAGCCACCTTCCCAGCCCAATCCATGAGACTCTTATCTCCAAAAAATGGTGGCTCAAGTAGTAGAGCAGTGCTAGTCTTGATCAAAAGCTCAAGGACAGGGCCTAGACCATGAGTTCAAGTCCCAATACCAGTGTAAAAACAACAAAAAAGGTTTCTTAGAGCCGGGCACCTGTGGCTCACGCCTGTCATCCTAGCTACTCAGGAGGCTGAGATCTGAGGATCCAGCCTGGGCAGGAAACTCCGTGAGACTCTTAGCTCCAGTAAACTACTCCAAAAAGCCGGAAGCAGTGCTGCGGCTCCAACCTCGGTCTTTCTCTTTGTACCCTTAGCGGCGTGCACATGATGGTGGCCACCCCTGGGCGCCTCATGGATTTGCTACAGAAGAAAATGGTCAGCCTGGACATCTGTCGCTACCTGGCCCTGGATGAGGCCGACCGCATGATTGATATGGGCTTCGAGGGGGACATCCGCACCATCTTCTCCTACTTCAAGGTGCCCGGCCTCGGCATTTCTGGGCCCTTCCTTGGATGGGATGAATATCCCATCCAAGAACAGGGACACACAAACACATGCACACATACACACACACACATACGCATGCACACGCACGCACGCACGCACTATCCTTCTCTCAGAATCTCAGCCTCCTCAGACTCCCCCCCCATCCCTCCCCCCTCCCCCCTGTAGGCCCGGTGCCTAGCCCTTCACACCCTCTGCCCTTTGACCCACCATTCCCCCAGGGCCAGCGACAGACTCTACTCTTCAGTGCCACCATGCCCAAGAAGATTCAGAACTTCGCCAAGAGTGCCCTGGTAAAACCTGTCACCATTAATGTGGGGCGCGCCGGGGCCGCCAGCCTCGATGTCATCCAGGTAGGTGGATCTGTCACCTGTGAGGCCGCCCTGAGACTGGTTAGAGCAAAAAAAAAAATCCACCTTGTGTGGCCAGGAAGTTCCATTGAACCCCCTCCTCTCCCCGCCCCCCCAGCCTTTAGCCAAGGCCATTCTTTGGGTTCTCAGCCCTGGGTGGCAAGAGGCTGCTAGCTAGGTGCCAGTGGCTCACGCCTGTCATCCTAGAGGCTGAGATCTGAGGATCATGGTTTGAAGCCAGCCTGGGCAGGAAAGTCTGTGAGACTTTTTTTTTGGTTGGCTTGAACTCGGGGCCTTGTCCCTCAGCTCTTCAGCTCAAGGCGAGCACTCTACCACTTGAACCACAGTGCCACTTCTGGTTTTCTGGTGGTTCATTGGAGATAAGAGTCTCACAGACGTTCCTGCCTAGGCTGGCTTTGAACAGTGATCCTCAGATCTCAGCCTCCTAAGTAGCCAGGATGACAGGCGTGAGCCACCAACACGCAAGATATTCTTATCTCCAGTTAACCAGCAAAAAACAAGCCATATGTGGTGCTGTGGCTCAAGTGGTAGAGCTTTACCCCTGGGTACAGAGAGGCTCAGGGCCAGAGCCTCAGACCCTGACTTCCAGCCCCAGGACTGGCCAAAAAAAAGGCCATTGGTCACCTGCCTCATCTTAGAGGCCCGGCCTCTTGTGGCAGGACCAGGACTGGGGTTGCCTCTCGCCGGGATCCCCTGACCTGGTTCCTTTGGCGGCAGGAGGTGGAATACGTGAAGGAAGAGGCCAAGATGGTGTACCTGCTGGAGTGCCTGCAGAAGACCCCCCCGCCGGTGCCTGGGGACCCGCGTGAGGGGGAGGGTGGTAAGGAGAAGCTAGCGGCACGCCCTCTGACTGGACCAACGCCTTCCCGGGCAGGTGCTCATCTTTGCGGAGAAGAAAGCAGATGTGGATGCGATCCACGAATACCTGCTGCTCAAGGGGGTCGAGGCCGTGGCCATCCACGGGGGCAAAGGTCAGGGCAGTGCAATCCTTGGCATGGGCCCCTCTGCCATCACAGCCCCTTCCTCTCCCCCTCCCCAGCCTGGCCACCACCGCCTCCAGAACTCCTACCGTCATCCTGACAGTCTCTGCCTGCCCTTCCCTAGACCAGGAGGAACGGACCAAAGCCATCGAGGCCTTCCGAGAGGGCAAGAAAGACGTCCTAGTGGCCACCGATGTGGCTTCCAAGGGCCTGGATTTCCCTGCCATCCAGCACGTCATTAATTACGACATGCCTGAGGAAATCGAGAACTACGGTAAGGAGCTTGGGGTGCTGGGGTGGGGGGGACAGGGTGTGGGCAACAGGCAAGAAGAAGCAAGCAAGCCTGCCAGTGGCTGGGCAGTAAGCCAGAGCTGATTCCCCTCTCCCTCTCTCTCTCCCTCTTTCTCTCCCCCTCTCTCTCCCCCTCTCTCTCCCCCTCTCTCTCCCCCTCTCCAGTGCACCGGATCGGCCGCACCGGGCGCTCTGGAAACACAGGCATCGCCACCACGTTCATCAACAAGGCCTGCGGTGAGTCGGTCACCACAGCCACCAGAGCTACCCCAAGTCCTGTGTGTGTGGCCTCCTGGAGCGGGGCCTGACCTTCCCTCCTCTCCTCCAGATGAGTCGGTGCTCATGGACCTCAAGGCCTTGCTGCTGGAAGCCAAGCAGAAGGTGCCGCCCGTGCTGCAAGTCCTGCACTGTGGGGACGAGTCCATGCTAGACATTGGAGGTGAGGGGCGGGGTGGGAAGGCAGGGATGCATCCCCACTGGACCTTGGAGGTGAATGGCAGGCCGGAGCACCAGTCCCTGGAGGCAGGGAGGCGGGAGCAGCACGGAAGGCAGCCGTTCGTTCATGACACGGGTGGACTCCATAACGGAGGGCCCTGTGGCCTGGCTGACCCAGCTCCCGGCCTCCCCCACAGGAGAGCGTGGCTGTGCCTTCTGCGGGGGGCTGGGCCATCGCATCACCGACTGCCCCAAGCTGGAAGCCATGCAGACCAAGCAGGTCAGCAACATCGGCCGCAAGGACTACCTGGCCCACAGCTCCATGGACTTCTAGCCGAGGACACAGTCTCAAGCCCGCACTCCCCACACACACCAGCCCGCTGGACAGGAAGCCAGCCCCCTTGGCCCAGCTGGCCTGGGCATTCCCTGGACCCCCACCCCAGAATGACTATTTTTGTCTCTCCTCCCTGTCTTCTCGTTGCTATTAAAGCACAGCCCTGCCCTGCCTCTGCGTCTCGCCTTCTGCCCTGGCTGCCCTGTTCGGGGTTCGGCTGCAAGGTGTCCCCGCCTGCTGGCACTTGGCTGTGGATAGAGCTGCCTGTCCAGCGCCCTCTTTTCCCAGGGCTCGGGGCACATCCTCATGAGCCCTGCTAGAGGTGTGTTGGGGCGGGGGGGACCTAAGGAGGGATCACAGTGGGGGCCAAGAGGAAATGGCTACGTCTGTCTCTCTCTCTCCCTGCGACATTCTGAGACTTGTAGAGCCCCTTGGGAGGCCTCTTCCTGCGCCAGGCCCCTGCCACCGCCCCTCTGTGCCTACTCCCAGCCAAGGGACGCTCAGTTCCATTCATGGAAGAGGTGGCAGATGCCACGAGACTGCTCCCCTCCCCCAGCCCCTCTGTGTGCCCAGCTCAGGCCGGGGCTGTCAGGGTCCAGAAGAGCCTAGTGGATCCCAGGTAAGTGGGAGGCTCGGCTAGGAATCCGGGTGAATATCACAAGACTGCCAGCCGGTCAAGATTTCAACACCTGGCCAGGTACCCCGTGGCTCACGCCTGTCACCCCAGCTGCTCAGGAGGCTGAGGATCCTCATTCATTTCCCAGGCAGGAAAGCACGTGACTTCCTCTCTTCACTGTCATCACCAAAAAGCCACACATGGCCCTAGCCAAGAAACAAAGCACAAGCCTTGAGCACAAAAGCTCAGGGACAGTGCCCAGGCCCCTGAGTTCAAGCCCCAGGACCACCAGCACTTGGCAAGCGGTGGGCAGAAGGGGGGGGGGGGGCGCAGCTCGGCTCCTCACAGGCCCAGCCCAGCAGTACAGCAGTTGCTCAAGCCGTGTGTGGTGCTGCTTGAGGCAGGTTGCTTAACTTTCTCAGCCTTGATTTCCTCATCATTGAAATAGCAAGGCGGATACAGACCACACAAAGGACATGGGGTGGGGTAAGGGGGGGCGGGGGTGCGGGTTGGGGCCCCTGGACCCTGGTGGGCACAAGGCCAGCCCCTCCTCAGGGACAGGATTTCCCAGGATCAGTACAGTGGCCCACCAATACTGGCCTCTAGCAAAACAAGGAGTTCAAAAAAGAAACCTCAGCAGGAAGCAAAGCTTTATTAGAACATGTGACCTCTCTGGGACGCCCACTGGGTGCCTGCCACCCACACTCGAGTGGTGGAGGCCATGGCGGGGAGGGCATAGATCTCACATGAACAGCTGTCCGATGTGCTGATGCTCTCTGACACCTTGGAGTGGTCAGGGAAGGCTACTCGGAGGAAGCAGCATTCCCCCTCCTCACCCACCCCACCCCGCCTGCCAGCTGAGCAACACCAAGGTAAGAGGGCTGAAGTGTGGGGAAACAGGCCAAGAGACCCAAGCCAGACCGCAAGACAACTGATTCAGAGTCAGGGCTGGCGTATGGCACATTCTATTTGAGATGATACCTCCCACACACAAGGCCCTGAGTTCAATCCCCCACGACCACCACTAACAAGCCCAATGGCACAAACCCAAGGAATCAGGAGGTGGAGAGCTAGGAGATCACCAGGCCAGAGGAGGGTCTGGGTGAGGGCAGGGCGGTACAATGATGGGGGGGGGGTGGGGGGGAGCCCAGATCTTATGACTCGAGACAGCCTGCCTGTGGTCAGACTCTCACGCCCAGCTCACTTGGTGCGGCCTTGGAGATCCACTGCCCTCCCGCCAATCCACGAGACTCCGACCAGGCAGGTGTTGAGCACTTGGTGCTGGCCAAGACCCCGAGGAAGAAACATGTTCCGTCCCCCATCCCCTTAGCCCAAGCCCCAGCAGTGCTCCCCTCCCCCGGCCGCTGTGGATGAAGGGAGGGGGAAGCGGCAGAAGGGGAAGTTGGAGAAGTTCCTGTCCGGCTGGCTGCCAGTCTCCTCAAGTCTTCACAACAGCTCAACCCATGGAGTCCGTGGAGACCCCCGTCAAGGATGGTGTCCTCTACCAGCAGCAGGTCAAGTTTGGCAAGGTGGGATTTCCCAGCTGCCAGGCAGCTGCCAAGGGCCAGAGGTAGGCAGAGAAAGCTGGCCTGGCATTACCCAGCTGACTCCGCCAGGACCCAGGGAGGCAGTAAAGGGGTCTGGGTCGGAGGGGGGAGTCCAGGAACTCACGAGTGAGCAGAAGAGAGCAGGTTCTGGGCCTGGGAGGGTCGGGGTTAAAACAAAAACAAACCTGCTTTACTCAGCCCCTGTCTTCGGGTAGAGATGGGGAAGCTGCGATCCAGGAAGGGTCTAAGTCACAATCTCCGCTAAGAGGCACTGGGGGCTCACGCGCTGGCAATGTTTAGCTACTCAGGAGGCTGAGGCCTGGAGGATCATGATTTGAGGACATGCAGAAAAGTCCGTCCCCACCCCCCCCCACCCCGGGCTCCTATCTCCAGTGAACCAGCAAAATGCTGGACTGAAGGCATGGCTGGTATGATAGAGCCACGGCTTCAGACAAGCAAGCAGAGAGAGATTGGCAAACTGGACAGAGCCTCTGCCTTCTGACTCATGTGGTAGGGGCACAGAGCCCATCCCTAGAGGGCCAGGGGTAGAGCTACAGTGCTCAGAGGTGGACCAGTACCCAGAGGCAGGCAGGGCCCCTATCTCTGTCAAGGGCTGGCAGGGGGGGTGTGGCGGGGAATTCACCTTTGCCCGCAGCTGCTACCCAAGAGGATAAACCACCTGTTTCCTTTGTTAGAAGGTATTTGCATGTTTCCTTCCTTGCCTGCAAGACACACAGCCTCCTTCCGACCCACCCTGAAAGTGTCCTTTTTTTGGGGGGGGGGGAGGGGATCAACATAGTAGTATCAGATGGGTCACCCATGACTAGAGACATAGCCTGGCACTGGTGGCTCCTGCCTATAATCCAAACTACTCGGGATTGAGGTTCGAAGCCAGCCTGGGCAGAAAAGTCCCTGAGATTCTTATCTAAAATACTGGAAGTGGAAGCTGGGCGCCAGTGGCTCACGAGCCTGTCATCCCAGCTACCCAGGAGACTGAGATCTGCGGATCACAGTTCAAAGCCAACCCCGGAAGGAAAGTCCGTGAGACTCTTATCTCTAATGAACCACCAGAAAACTGGAAATGGCCCTCTGGCTCAAGTGGTAGAACACTAGCCTTGAGCTGAAGAGCTGAGAGACAGTGCCCAGGCCCAGAGTTCAGGCCCCATGACTGACAAAGAAAAAAAAAAGTCCATGAGACTCTTATCTCCAGCAAACTACTAAAAAAAGCCATAATTGGAGGTGTCGCTCAAGACCTAAGGTACCATCCTTGAGCAGAAAAGCCAAGCAAGAGTAGGAGAGGCCCTGAGTTCAAGCCCTAGTACTGGCACCAAGAAAAGGAAAAAAAAGAATATATAAATATATGCATAGACTGTGTAGAAACTTCAGAAGAAGTCTTCATGGTCCTTAGAAGACTAGGATACTGGTTATTTTTTGTTGTTGTTGGTCATGGGACTTGAACTCTGGCCTGGATGCTGTCCCTCAGCTCTTCAGCTCAAAGCGAGCGCTCTACCTCTTGAGCCACAGGGCCACTTCTGGTTTTCTGGTGGTTCATTGGAGATAAGAGTCTCACAGAGCTGGGAATTGGTGGCTCACCCCTGTAAACCTAACTACTCAGGAGGCTGAGATCTGAGGATCGCGGTTCAAAGCCAGCCCGGGCTGCAAAGTTCATGAGACTCTGATCTCCCATAAACCACCAGAAAAACAGAAGTGGCGCTGTTGCTCAAGTGGTAGAACACTCACTTTGAGCTGAAGAGCTGAGGGACAGCACCCAGGCCCAGAGTTCAAGCTCCACGACCAACAAAAAAAGAATCTCACAGATTTTCCTGCCCTGGCTGGCTTTGAACTGCGATCCTCAGATCTCAGCCTCCTGAGTAGCTAGGATGACAGATGTGAGCCACCAGTGCCCAGCTTTTCTTTTCTTTTCTTTTTTCTTTGCCAGTCCTGGGGCTTGAACTCAGGGCCTGGGCACTGTCCCTGAGCTTCTTTTGCTCCAGGCTAGCACTCTACCACTTGAGCCACAGCACCACTTGCGGCTTTTTCTGTGTCTGTGGTACTGAGGAACCCCGGGCTTCCTGCATGCTAGGTAAGCACTCTACCACTGAGCCACCTTCCCAGCCCAGATGCTGGCTTTTCTGAGATCGCAAGAAATTGCAGTGTGGTATTTGAACCTGGGGCTGACTGGTCCCAAACACATACTTTTGCTCAAGCTGCCTGGCCCAGCCCTGGTACCCTTGACATCAGGGCGTGGATGGTCAGTTGCTGAGCAGCTTGTGCTGGCCTAAGTGACAGGGACACCCTGCCACCCATGGTCTCCCTGTCCCCCCTCCCCCCCTTAGAAGTCGTGGCGGAAGGTGTGGGCCCTGCTGTACGCTGGAGGCCCGTCCGGCGTGGCCCGGCTGGAGAGCTGGGACATGCGCGATGGCGGCCCGGGACTAGCGAGCGACCGACCTGCGGGGCCCGGGCGGCGCGGGGAGCGCAGGGTCATCCGCCTGGCTGACTGCGTGTCCGTGCTGCCCACGGACCACGAAAGCTGCCCCCGGGACACGGGTGCCTTCCTGCTCACCACCACGGAGCGAAGCCACCTGCTGGCCGCCCAGCACCGCCAGTCATGGATAGGGCCCATCTGCCAGCTGGCCTTCCCTGTGAGTACAGGGGCCGGGGCCAGGTGGGGGGGTGGGGGGGGCGGCACGGGTGAGGGGGGTAGGGTAGGGCTGGGGTGACGTCACCCCACGCATGTTCACTCACATCCTGCCACTTGCTAAACGTTGCCAACCACCTGCGAGGCTGGGAAATCGCCCAGAAAGTCATAGGACAAATCCCAGAGGGCTGTGCATGCATGCTAGACAGGAAATGAGACTGGGGGATGGGACTGGAGCAAACAGGCAGACAAGAGTCCAAAGAAGCCTCTCTGAGGAGGGGACGGTGGGCCTGAACAACAAGAAAGCAAAGAAAGAAAGGAAGGAAGAGAGGAAGGGAAGGGGAAGGGGGGGGGGAGGGAGGGAGAAAGGAAGGGAGGGAGGGAGGGAGGAAGGAAGGAAGGAAGGAAGGAAGGAAGGAAGGAAGGAAGGAAGGAAGGAAGGAAGGAAGGAAGGAAAACGTCCTGACCAAAAAGCAAAAAACCAATGCAGGAGAGGAATGTGCGGAAGGTCCTGAAATTGAGTCTTCTCTGGTAGGAGGAGCTGAGACCGCCCTAGGCCGTGGGTGGAGTGGGGAATTTTATTCTGAGTCAGAGGAGAAGCCATTGGAGTGTTTAAAGCCAGATGCTGATGGTTGTAAAAATCTCCCAGGTCTGTAATGGACCCTAGGGAACAGGTTTGGTGGTTCCTCAAAATGGTTGTCATGGAGTGACCGTATGACCCAGCAACTCAACCACTTGATTTATACCCAAGAGTATCGAAACATGTTCACATGACACCTGGACATGAACTGCTATTCACAGTTACCAACCTATTCGTATCTACCCCCTGATGAATGGATCACCAAAACGCAATCTCCAAACACTGGAGAGTGACTCAGCCGTAAAAAAGCAAGGCACCACAGACGCGTGTTGCGTGGATGAACCTTGAACATGAACTTGTTGTTTTTGTTTTTGTTTTTTTGCCAGTCCTGGAGCTTTGAACTCAGGGCCTGAGCACTGTCCCTGAGCTTCTTTTGCTCAAAGCTGATCCTCTACCGCCTGAGCCACAGCACCACTCCTGGCTTTTTCTGTGTATGTGGTACTGAGGAATCAAACCCAGGGCTTCATGCATGCTAGGCAAGCGCTCTACCATCAAGACCCACATGGAATGTTCTTATCTTATGTGATTCTACTTGTGTAAGACAAATATGTAAAGATAGAAACAGATGAGTTATGACTACAACTGTAAAAGAGGGTAAAAATGGGAAGCAAGTGCCGATAGACACAGAGTTTCCATTTGGAGTGACAATTGAGTTCTTGGAATTTGATCGTGATGATGGCCATATCACCTCCTTAACATACTAACACACACACACACATACACACTGAATTGTGTGTTTTACAATACTCAAATGGTAAATTGTATTTTATCCACACACACACACACACACACACAAATTTTGAGCCAGGTACCAGTGGCTCACATCTATAATCCTAGCTACGCAGGAGGCTGAGATCTGAGGATCATGGTTCAAAGCCAGCCCAGACAGGAAAGTCTGTGAGACTCTTATCTCTAATAAGGCACCAGAAAGCCGGAAGTGACGCTGTGGCTCAAGTGGTAGAGCGCTCGCCTTGGGCTGAAGAGCTGAGGGACAGCACCCAGGCCCAGAGTTCAAGCCCCACGACTGACTTAAAAAAAAAAAAGTGACTCACAAGGTGGTTTTGGGGAGATAGAGAAGGAAGCCTGGGGTGTTGCTCACTGAGGGATTCATTCAGATGAGCCACCCCTAAACCACCCACTCCTTCACTGGGGCCAGGCCTGCCGGGGTCCCTGGGCAGGCGCGGGGACTGTGATGGAAGCATCTACTTGGGTGCTGTCCGTCACCGGCAGGCTCCGCCCCCTCCAAAGCCCACCCCTCTCCTCTCCCCAATCGCTGCTCTATCATGCCTAGGAGGGTGTCCCCAGAATCCAGCAGGTGCCAAGCAGACCTGGGACTGGCCCTGGGGTGCATGGACTGCTGGCCCCGGGCAGGAAGGGTCAGGAAGAGGAACCCGAGTACTCTTCACGGCTGACTTGAACTTGACCCGCTGACCTTGAGCTTGTTCCCTAGGGCACAGGGAATTGTTCATCCAAGCCTGCAGTAACTCAGTCTCCCCCAAAGGGCCTGGTCCCCATGGAGGACAACTCCATTTACTCTTCCTGGCAGGAAGGTGAGTCAGGGGATAAAGGGGAAAGAAAGCCTGAGGGGACTCAGTCTGTCACCCCCAGAACCAAGCTGTGTGGGGCTGATGGCGTGTCCTCCCTGCCTGCCTGCAGCCGGCGAGTTTCCAGTGGTTGTGCAAAGGAACGAGGCTGCTCTCCGCTGCCAGCTGAAGGGGTCCTATCTCCTGGTGCTGGGCCCTGATGCCATCCGGCTGAGAGACACAGCCCGCTCCCAGGACGTCTACACCTGGCCCTACCACTTCCTGCGGAAGTTTGGCTCTGACAAGGTGAGATGCTAGCCCAACCCCATTAACCCCCCCCACCCCCCCAGCAGATGCCCTCACGCCTGTCATCCCAGCTACTCAGGAGACTGAGATCTGAGGATCACGGTTCAAAGCCAGTCCAGGCAGGAAGGCTCATGAGGCTTTTACCTCCCATGAAAACCAGAATTGGCGCTGTGGCTTCAATGTGCTCACTTATGAGCTGAAGAGCTCAGGGACGGCACCCAGGCCCTGAGTTCAAGTCCCAGGACTTTCCAGAATGAAGGACTGACCCTGGCTTGTCTGGCCTGTCCACAGGGCGTGTTCTCCTTCGAGGCTGGCCGGCGCTGTGACTCCGGTGAGGGCCTCTTTGCCTTCAGCAGCCCACGAGCTCCTGACCTGTGCGGGGCTGTGGCTGCTGCCATCGCCCACCAGCGAGAGCGGCTGCATGAGCCGCCCAGGCCCGCTCAGCCCTGCCTTCTAGCCCGGGCCATCTCCCTGCCCTCCCTTGACCCCCCTGAAGAGCTTCAGGACGTACCACCAGGTAGGCCCCAGCGATCCACCTCCAAGAAGGCTCATGTGGCTGAACCTGGACCCCAGAGCTTGCCACTCCAGCTGGGCCCCGCCCTGGAAGATCCAGCCTCCTGTCTCTATGCCTCGGTGTGTAAGCCGAGCAGCAGGCCGCCAGCCTCAGCCGAGCACCTCTATGAGAACCTGAGCGTGCCCGAAGCCAGCCCGGCACTGCCCACGGCGGCTCCCAAGCCTCCAGAAGGCTCTCCTGCTAGCCACAGTCCCTTGGCCAGCCCCATCTACCATAACAGTGAGGATCTAAGCTGGCCCGGCCCGGCTCAGGACAGCAGCCTGGAGGCCCAGTATCGGCGGCTTCTAGAACTGGAGCTGGACGAGGCAGGGCAGGGTGGCCGTTCTGGGGCTCAGGTGGGTTTCCGGGCCAAGCTGGTGACCCTGCTGAGCCGGGAGAAGAAGAAGGGCCCTGTCCCCTGTGATCGGCCCTGATAGCAAGGCCTGTCACGTGACAGACAACAGGGCCACTGAGGTGCTGTCCCCTGGGGGAAACATCTCCCCAGCAGGCAGCCTGGGTGGGGGGGGACCCTTACGTGAATACCCGGATGTACAGTGTACAGATTTGCTCATAATAAAGCCTTCCCATTCCTTCCTGCAGCTGCCTGGGGTCACTTTAGCTCCTGGCACAGAGGACCTGGGTCCTGGCTCCAGCCACCTGTGGCTCCGATCCACGGAAGCAGAGGGGCAGGGTGTAGGCAATCTGGTGGCCATGTTGGGTCCCTATACAGCAGGAATGTCACATAGGCAGAGAGAGGCAGGTAGTGGTCAAAGGCAGGATGGAGACATGGGAAGACTGAACCTGAGGGACCAATATTGGGGGGCTGGAGACCCAAGCTGGGGGTCACAGGGGAGGAAAGAGAAAGGTTTGAAAAGTACACACATCTGCTGAGCGCTGGAGGCTCACACCCATCATCCCAGCTACTCAGGAGGCTGAGATCTGAGGAGCAGGGTTTGAAGCCAGCCTGGGCAGGAAAGTCCCTGAGACTCTTCTCATCTCTTAATGAACCATCCAAAAAGCCTGAAGGGATGCTGGAGCTGGGGCTCAAGTGGTACAATATGAGTCTTGAGCAAAAGGAGCTCAGGGACGGTGCCCTGGTCCAGATTTCAAGCCCCAAGAGTGGCACACGCACACACACACACACAAAATGAAGAAACTGACATTTCTAAGGGAGATGACACATTTCCTGAAAACCAGTGCTTGTCTCCTCTGTCAGCCCTGCCCTGACCTTACCACACATGCTCAGTGTGGTCAGGCCTTCGACAATCTGACCCCTTGACCTCAAAACCCAAGCCTCAATTTTATTTCAGCTACACAGTTGTTGGGTTTTGTTTTTTGTTTTTGGTTGGTCATGGGATTTGAACTCAGGGGCTGGGCCCTGTCTCTCAGCTCTTCAGCTCAAGGCCAGCGCTCTACCACTTGAGCCACAGCGCCACTTCTGGTTTTCTGGTGGTTCACTGAAGAGAAAGAGTCACCACAGACTTTCCAGCCTGAGCTGGCTGTGAACTGAGTAGCTAGGATGACAGGCGTGAGCCACTGGCGCCCAGCTCCACATTATTTTTTGTAGAACCAGATTTTGACTTCATGCTTGTTAAGTAGGTGCACTGCCACTTGAGCCTTGTCTCCAACTCCACATTTTTTTTTTGTGCCAGTACTGGGGCTTGAATGTAGGGCCTGGGCTCTGTCCTTTAGCTTTTTCCCACTAGAGCTGCGGCTCCACCTTTGGCCTTTTGATGGTTAATTGGAGCTAAGAGTCTCACGGACTTTCCTGCCCTTCCTGCCTGGGCTAGTTTTGAACCATGATCCTCAGATCTCAGCCTCCTGAGTAGCTAGGATGATAGGTATGAACCACCGGCGCCTGGCTGAACCACTGTCTTTATGACAGTAATGTACCAATCTTCATTCCAAGTGCCTTCTGTCCACTGCCTCATAGTTCACTTCTGGTAGCCTGGCCTATACTTCCTGTCCCTTACATGGGCCTACAGTGACTGCTTACTGTCCTCTAGGCCCTGTTCCATTTTGCTTCTTTCACAGTGTGACTTCAATGTGGAGTTACTTCTGCATGTGTGTGTGTGTGTGTGTGTGTGTGTGTGTACTGGGGGCTTGAACCCTGGGCCTCACACTCTTTCTCAGGGTTTTCAATCCAGGATGGCACTCTACTACTTGGGCCACAGCTCCACTTCTGGCTTTTTGCTGGAGATGAGTCTCACAGCCTTTTCTGCTCCAGCTGGACAGAAAATCCGATCCTCAGATCTCAGATCCTCAGATCTCAGCCTCCAGAGTAGTAGCTAGGATTACAGGTGGGAGCCATGGTGCTCGGCTGAAATTTCCCATGTTAAGATGCCCTCCCTTGACCTCACATTCCCCTGCAGCCCCCCGCCCCCCTCCATTTTCCTGTTCTGCTTGGCAGGGAAACTCCTCAAAGGGTTGATTACTCTCATTTCCTCTTTCTCACCCCTCAACCTCTCCCTAACTAACCCGTCTCCTCTTTTCTCTGCTACTCCTTATTACAAGAGTATCCCAGACCCTCTCAGCTTCTCGGCAGCGGCCAGCTCCTTTTCCTTCCTTCCTTCCTTCCTTCCTTCCTTCCTTCCTTCCTTCCTTCCTTCCTTCCTTCCTTCCTTCCTTCCTTCCTTCCCTCCCTCCCTCCCTCCCTCCTTCCCTATACCTCCCTTTCTCCCCTCTCTCTCTCCCTTTCTTTTCTTTTTTTTTAAAATTTTTATTGTAAAGATACTATACAGAGGGTTACAGTTACATGAGTAAGGTAATGAGTACACTTCCTATTGAGCATTGTTACCCCCTCCATTGTTTTCCCCTACCATCCCTTCCCTCCCTACCTTCCCTGAAGTTCTTTTTTTTTTTTAAATTGTGATTAAATGATTACATAATTTCCCAAATTTCACAGTATTGTGGAATAATGATGCTCATTTAAAGTCACAAGTTCATTCTAACTTTCCTGGAGCAAATTGTCTATCACAGTCTATAACATATAACGGTGTACACATGTTATATACCATACATGTGATCAGCAGCATGGGGATATTTAGTAGTGGTTCGACCAGATGAGTGGGAGTTCTTTGTTTTTTTAAGTCCTGTTAGTTTTGTCGTATCACCTAACATTTTGGATTTAGCATCCACTTATCAGGGAGACCATGTACCATTTGTCTCTTTGCTCTTGGCTTACCTCGCTCAACATGATTCCTTCTAGCTCCATCCATTTCCTTGCAAATGCCATTATTTTGTCATTTCTAATAGCTGCATAATATTCCATTGTGTATAGATACCACAATTTTTGGATCCATTCATCTGTGGTGGGGCATCTAGGTTGTTTCCATATCCTAGCTATTGTGAACAGTGCTGCAATAAACATGGAGGTGCACGTGTCCTTGTATATTGGTTCCTGTTGTTCAGGGTAGATGCCTAGAAGTGGTATGACTGGGTCGTAAGGGAGGTCAATCTTTAGTTTTCTAAGGACCCTCCAGACTGCTTTCCAAAGTGGTTGTATAAGTGTACATTCCCACCAGCAGTGTAATAGGGTTCCTCTTTCTCCACATCCCCTCCAGCATTTGTCGTTGGCTGATTTGTGGATGTGTCTCTCTTTCTTTTCTTTCTTTCTTTTGTTCTTTCTCCCTTGTGTTGGTCCCCTGGATGCTATTTTATTTTATTGTCGGTAGTAGGGCTCGAACTCTGGGCCTGGGCGCTGTCCCTCAGTTCTTCAGCTCAAGGCGAGGGCTCTACCACTTGAGCCACAGCGCCACTTCCGGCTTTTTTCTGTTTGCTTATGTGGTGCTGAGGAATTGAACCCAGGGCCTCAGGCATGCAAGGCAAGCACTCTACCACTGAGCCACCTTCCCAGCCCTGGATGCAATTTTAATACATAGTAAAAAAAAATTTTTTTTAAATGTGTCTAGGTGCCAGTGGGTCACACCTGTAATCCTAGCTACTCAGGGAAGTCCACAAGGCTCTTATCTTCAATTGACTGCCAAAAAATAAAGCCAGAAGTGGAGCTGTAGCTCAAGTGGTAGAGTGCTAGCCTTGAGCAAAAACTCAGGGCAAGCACCTAGGCCGTGAGTTCAAGCCCTATGACCTACCGCTCCCCCCCCCCCAAAAAAAAAAAAGGAAGAAAAGGAAAGAAGGAAGAGGGGGGAGGGAAAGAAGCTGGGTATTGGTGGATCATGCTACTCAGGAGCCTGAGGTCCAAGGATCACAGTTCAAAGCCAGCCCTGGTAGGAAAGTCTGTGAGAGTCTTATCTCCAACTGACTATCAGAAAACTGGAAGAGGCGCTGTGGCTCCAAGAGGTAGAGCGTTACCCTGAGCAACAAGAGCTGAGGGACAGCGCTCAGGCCCTGAGTTCAAGCTCCATGACCGACAAAAAAAGAAAAGAAAAAGAAAGAACAGGAGTAAACGAAGCCTCTTTGTATCATGGTGACTTTTGTGAGGAAGGTCCTGGATGGAAATCTCCAGGACCCCTAGAGTCACCAGGGAGTTTTGGGAGCCCTGGCCACCAGGAGGCGCTGTGCCCAAGTCTAGGTCCTGTTCCTCCCAAGGATTGCCTGGCTGGGACCATGAGCCACTCTACCCGGGCCTTAGCCTTTCATTGACCCAGGGAAGGGATCCCAGGCTCTGTCACGTCTGCTGAAGGGGACAAGGATCTGCGGCTGCCACTTCTTGTTTTGTTCACTGGCTGTTGCGTTTTGCAATTCTTCCTTCCTTCTTCTGTTCGTTTGCATGTGGCCTGTTCAGGCCCCATGGAAGAGAGACAATCCTGGGCTCTTACAGGATGGTAGAGAAACAATACAGGGCTGAGCATGGAGGATCACACCTGTAATCCCAGCTACTTGGAAAGAGCATAATTTGAGGCCAGCCCAAGCAAAATGAGAGACCTTATCTCCACAAGTGAAAACTGGGCATGTTGGCTTGTACCTGTCATCCCAGCTCCAGAGAAAGCAGAAGTAGGAAAATCATGGCACAGACTGACCTAGGTAAGAATACAAGACTACTTGAATATTAATGAAAGCAGAAAGGGTTTATAGAGGTCGTTCAAGAGGCAGTGGTACCTGCTTTAGCAAATGTGAACTCCTGGTTCAAACCCCAGTACTGAGGGAGAGGGGGGAGAGGGAGAGAGGGATTGTGTTTTGGGGAATGAGGGGAAACAGAGGGAAAAGACAAGGAGTAAATAATTTCAGCCCAGTGCTAGTGGCTCATGCCTATCATCCTAGCTATTCAGAAAACTGATACCTTGAGAATTATAGATTCAAAGCCAGTCCATGAACCACCAGAAAACCAGAAGTGACGCTGTGGCTCAAAGTGGTAGAGCGCTCGCCTTGAGCAAAAGAGCTCAGAGATGCCTAGGCCCTGAGTTCAAGTCCCACAAACAAAAATGCCCCCTCCCAAAGTAAATATTTTCAAGATACATTGTAACTGTGTATGAAGACAGCATAAGCAATCTAAGGAATCTCAATGAAAGCTGCTAATGGGTTAGAGGCAGGGAAAGAGAAAGTAATAGAGTAGATAATTCGTGTGTGTGTGTGTGTGTGTGTGTGTGTGTGTGTGTGTTTATGTGTGCGCGCACGTGCACATACGTGTGATGTGTACCAG